GAAGGGGCTGGACAGAAAGCAGCCTCAGTGTGTATTACAGGCAAAGCCCTGGTGCTACGGAGGGACAGAGATCCCTTTCAGGGCTGGTCCAAGCACAGCTTTGCACAGACAACTACAATAGTAGAAAAATCAGTGTAGATAAATTGATATAATCCCCTGTGCGTCTGCAGTTACAGCAGCAGAAAGGTGTTGAGAGCAGGAGCAGCGTTGCTTGGGTTGGATAAGTTCTCCCAGTCTAAGCAATTTAATACCAGGAGAAGTGTGGCACACAAGGGGGCTGCGTTGCGCGGATTTGTCTATACAAAAATGTGTAGACAAGCCCTTAGTCTATGTCCTTCCACAGAAGTGTGCATGTGCACACTCACCCGACACCCTTTCCACCCCGTGTACAGCAGCTCACCCCACACACCCAGACATACAGGCACGCTTTTAATGCAGTTGGTACGTCTGGTCTCGGCCCTGGATGCTGAGAGCCGTGACCCCACCACTGGGCTGCACCCTGGTCACCTCCATCCATTCATCATTTTCTTTGCAGATCCAGATCCTTCCTTCCTCCCTGCTCTCTCACACAATCCCATGTCAGGCCAGATGAGCACAAACAGAGGCTTCTGACAACAAAAAAAGGGAAGAATCTCCTCCAGCCAACAGCAACCCTCCACCCCCACCGCTCAGCTATTGCTACTGTAACTTCCCAGAACAACCTCATGGAGCCAGTCTGGGCAGGAGACAACTTAGGCCAGAAGGACATTATCTTTGAAAATTCATGGTGATCGGGGGAGGTCCCAGATAATTGGAAAAAGGCAAATATAGTCCCCATATTTAAAAAAGGGAAGAAAAAGAACCCAGGGAACTACAGACCACTCAGCCTCACTTCAGTCCCTGGCAAAATCACAGAGCAGGTCCGCAAGGAATCCATGAAGCACTTGGAGGAGAGGAAGGTGATCAGGAATAGTCACCATGGATTCACCAAGGGCAAGTCATGCCTGACTAACCTCATTGCCTTCTATGACTAGAAAACTGGCTCTGTAGATGAGGGGAAAGCAGTGGACATGTTATTCCTTGACTTTAGCAAAGCTTTTGATACCATCTCCCACAGTATTCAAGTTAAAAAGTATGGATTGGGTGAATGGACTATAAGGTAGATAGAAAGCTGGCTAGATTGTCGGGCTCAACAGGTAGTGATCAATGACTCAATGTCTACTTGGCAGCCAGTATCAAGCAGAGTGCCCCAGGGTCGGTCCTGCAGCCGGTTTTGTTCAACATCTTTATCAATGATCTGGATGATGGGATTAATTGCACCCTCAGCAAGTTCACAGATGACACTAAACTGGGGGGAGAGGTAGATACACTGGAGAGTAGGGATAGGGTCCAGAGTGACCTAGACAAATTGGAGGATTGGGCCAAAAGAAATCTGATGAGGTTCTGCAAGGACAAGTGCAGAGTCCTGCACTTAGGAAGGAAGAATCCCATGCACTGCTACAGGGTGGGTACTGACTGGCTAAGCAGCCGTTTTGCAGAAAAGGACCTAGGGATTACAGTGGACAAGAAGCTAGATATGAGTCAGCAGTGTGCCTTGTTTTTTTTCTTTTTCATTTCCTGGTTTTATTTTGTCAAATACTGTTACAGACTTAGGAGACAAAAAAGTGAAAAGTAAGACTACTAAAGATTAGTCTTCAAACATTGTATCCAATCAGGCTGCCTCTGCCCTTGTTGCCAAGAAGGCCAATGGCATATTGGGCTGTATTAGTAGGATCATTGCCAGCAGATCGAGGGAAGTGATTATTCCATTCTATTTGGCACCGGTGAGGCCACACCTGGAGTACTGCATCCAGTTTTGGTCCCCCCCCCTACAGAAGGGATGTGGACAAATTGGAGAGAGTCCAGCTGAGGGCAACGAACATTATTAGAGGGCTGGGGCACATGATTTATGAGGAGAGGCTGAGGGAACTGGGGTTATTTAGTCTGCAGAAGAGAAGAGTGAGGGGGGGATTTGATAGCCTTCAACTACCTGAAGGGGGGTTACAAAGAGAATGGAGCTAGGCTGTTCTCAGGGTGGCAGATGACAGAACAAGGAGCAATGGTCTCAAGTTGCAGTGGAGGAGGTCTACGTTGGATATTAGGAAACACAATTTCACTAGGAGGGTGATGAAGCCCTGGGATGGGTTTTCTAGGGAGGTGGTAGAATCTCCTTCCTTAGAGGTTTTTAAGGCCCGGCTTGACAAAGCCTTGACTGGGATGATTTAGTTGGTGTTGGTCCTGCTTTGAGCAGGGGATTGGACTAGATGACCTCCTGAGGGCTCTTCCAACCCCTTATATTCTATGATTCTATGACATTTTAATTTGGGGAGATGAAGAGACATTTAGACTGAAATGGCTCTTCTGGCCTTCCCATGGGCAGCTGCCATAGAGAGGCCTCACATACTGGTGAGCCCAGTAGCAGCGTCTACTGTATTACTCACAGCCTGCTTCCACTCCAGTTAGGGTGGCCACTCATGCATTCCTGGATACCGGATATGACAGTACTTCCGGGAATGGTGTGGGCATGCCCCTGCCGGCATGACCTCACCCCCTCCCCACCATGACCTTGCATGTACCTAGCAGGGGTGGAACAGCATGCTCTTCAAAAGGGCATTTGTCCAATACAGGACAAAACCACATCCAGTTCTGTATCAGTATTGGATGGGAAACAAACCCTACAAAAGTTGGACAGGACAGCCCAGTTTAATACCGGAGGAGAGGCCTGCCTAAGTCCAATACCATGCAACACGAGAAATCCACAGATCAAATCCCTCCTCAGAATTAGACAACTTCTTCCTGCACTGCCCACCCTGGAAATTCCCTGGGCCAAGAGCCACAGCTATGCGCTGGGTACCTGGGCAAAGGTCACAGAGCTAGTCTGGAATGGCACTGGTCACACACGCACAGCCAGCCCAGCCCAGTTCCCTCACATGGCCTGGCTTATCAGAAGGGTCTGAGGCCTTGTCCCAGGTGGTTTTATGGCTTGATAGCCCATAAACCCTGCCAGACTCCACCTGTTTAGCTGGTTTCTCACTCTCTGCTCTCATCATCAAACCCTAGAAGATGATTAACACAGGTCCCAGCCCCCTCAGAGGGCCAGGCCCACACCAGCTAGGACGGTGGGCAGAAGAGGTGGCACAGCACCCCAGGCACGCTCAGTGAGCACCAGCAGGAACCATTTCACACAAATCCAAAGCTCCATGCCATTCACAAGCTGCCAACTCCCCAGGGCGATGCAGGAGATGGGGAGGAGAGCCCCTGGCTGGGGCAACCACCTGTCACAGCAGGGCTGGAGAAGGGGGCTCCTGATCAGGGCAGGGCATCCCCTTCCCCAAGGCAGGGAGGGAGAGGAGGACACCTGGCCAAGGCAGCCACAGGAGACGGGCTGGTGTGGGGTGGCTGTTTCCCCTACACATGAAGGGTAACAGGGCAGAGGCAGGACAGCTTGGGGAGTGCTGCCCAATAATTCACAAGAAACATGAACCAGTGTTGGCCCCTGCAGGGATGGGGCAGGGACACCCGGCCCGCACCCCGGGCCCGGCCCCCGCGGGGAAGCGGGGAGAGGGGGGGCTGCCGCCGCCCGCACCCCGGGCCCGGCCCCCGCGGGGAAGCGGGGAGGGGGGGCTGCCGCCGCCCGCACCCCGGCCCCGGCCCCCGCGGGGAAGCGGGCGGCGGGGGCTGCCGCCGCCCGCACCCCGGGCCCGGCCCCCGCGGGGAAGCGGGGAGGGGGGGGGGCTGCCGCCGCCCGCACCCCGGGCCCGGCCCCCGCGGGGAAGCGGGGCGGCGGGGGGGCTGCCGCCGCCCGCACCCCGGGCCCGGCCCCCGCGGGGAAGCGGGGCGGCGGGGGCTGCCGCCCCCGCACCCCGGGCCCGGCCCCCGCGGGGAAGCGGGGCGGCGGGGGCTGCCGCCGCCGCACCCCGGCCCGGCCCCCGCGGGGAAGCGGGGCGGGGGGGGGGCTGCCGCCGCCCGCACCCCGGGCCCGGCCCCCGCGGGGAAGCGGGGCGGCGGGGGGGCTGCCGCCCGCACCCCGGGCCCGGCCCCCGCGGGGAAGCGGGGAGGGGGGGGGCTGCCGCCGCCCGCACCCCGGGCCCGGCCCCCGCGGGGAAGCGGGGCGGCGGGGGCTGCCGCCCCCGCACCCCGGCCCCGGCCCCCGCGGGGAAGCGGGGCGGCGGGGGCTGCCGCCCCCGCACCCCGGCCCGGCCCCCGCGGGGAAGCGGGGCGGCGGGGGTGCCCCCCCCACCCCGCCCCCCCCCGGGGAAGCGGGCGGCGGGGCTGCCCCACCCCGGCCCGGCCCCGGGGAGCGGGCGCGGGGGTCCCCCCACCCCCCCCCCCGGGAGCGGGGAGGGGGTGCCCCCGCACCCCGGCCCGGCCCCCGCGGGGAAGCGGGGAGGGGGCTGCCGCCCGCACCCCGGGCCCGGCCCCCGCGGGGAAGCGGGGAGGGGGGGGGGGGCTGCCGCCCGCACCCCGGGCCCGGCCCCCGCGGGGAAGCGGGGAGGGGGGGGCTGCCGCCCGCACCCCGGGCCCGGCCCCCGCGGGGAAGCGGGGAGGGGGGGGCTGCCGCCCGCACCCCGGGCCCGGCCCCCGCGGGGAAGCGGGGCGGGGGGGGGCTGCCGCCCGCACCCCGGGCCCGGCCCCCGCGGGGAAGCGGGGCGGGGCTGCCCGAACCCGCGGGCGCCGCTCACAGGAGAACAAAGGGAGCCCAGTGCGGCCGCGCCCCGGGCAAACCGCCTCACGTGACCGATACCGGCCGGGAGCGCGCACTCGCAACGCTCCCTGAGGGCCCGTCTCGACCCCACCCCGCTGGGGCCGGCGCGTGGCAGCCGAGGTCATGACCCCTCCCGCGGTGGGCGGGGCCGGGCGGGGCGGGGCGACTCTCTGGCGGCCAGCGGCTGGCGCCTCAGCGCGAGGGGCGGGGCCCGGGGAAGGCGGGGCCCGGGGAAGGCCCGCCCCCCGTGAGTCCCGCCGGCTCGCCCCTACGCGCGGCGGCGTCGCGCGGCCGGTCATCCTCGCCCCAGGATGCTCCGCCGGCTCGGCCGGCCCCGGCTCAGCTCCGTCCGGGCCCCGCAGCTGCCGGCAGGGCCCTGGGTGCCCGACCGCGCCGCGGCCGCCTCCCCCAGCGCCAGCGCGCCCGGGCGCACTTCGGTGACGTAAGCGGTCCGCCCCGCCCACAATGTATCCCCCGGCCCCCCCCGGACCGCCCCCCCGCCCAGCGCCCGGCCGCCTGCCCGGGGCTCCGACACGTCAAGTGCCCAAATAGAGGGCACTGGGGCCGGGGAGTAACTGCCGGGGCGGGTGCCGAGGGGGTATTTCAGGGGGTGCTGGAGGGGTGACCGGGGGGGGTGCTGAGGGGGTATTTCAGGGGGTGCTGGATGGGTGACCGGGGGTGCCGAGGGGTATTTCAGGGGTGCTGGAGGGGGACCGGGGGTGCCGAGGGGGTTTTCACGGGGTGCTGGAGGGGACCGGGGGTGCTGAGGGGTATTTCACGGGGTGCTGGAGGGGGACCGGGGGTGCCGAGGGGGTATTTCAGGGGGTGCTGGAGGGGTGACCGGGGGGGTGCCGAGGGGATATTTCATGGGGTGCTGGATGGGTGACCGGGGGGTGCCGAGGGGGTATTTCAGGGGGTGCCGGGGGGTATTTCAGGGGTGCTGGATGGGTGACTGGGGGGGTGCCGAGGGGGTATTTCAGGGGGTGCTGGAGGGGGGACCGGGGGGGTGCCGAGGGGGTATTTCAGGGGGTGCTGGAGGGGGACCGGGGGGGTGCCGAGGGGGTATTTCAGGGGGTGCTGGAGGGGGGCCTTGGGGGGTGCCGAGGGGTATTTCAGGGGGTGCTGGAGGGGGACCTGGGGGGTGCCGAGGGGGTATTTCAGGGGTGCTGGAGGGGGGCCTGGGGGGTGCCGAGGGGGTATTTCAGGGGGTGCTGGAGGGGTGACCAGGGGGGGTGCCGAGGGGGTATTTCACGGGGTGCTGGATGGGTGACCGGGGGGGTGCCGAGGGGGTATTTCACGGGGTGCTGGAGGGGGGACCTGGGGTATGTGCTGAGGGGGTATTTCACAGGGCGCTGGAGGGGGGACCTGTGGCCTCACACTCGAGGTGCGGGACAGTGTGGCGCTCCCTGTCATGGTGGCAGGGATGCGGCACCAGCCTGTCAGTGAGCACCTCCCTGTGAGTCTTTTTCTTCTCTGCTGGGTGGGGAGCCAGGGCCTGTCTCTGTCACCCTCCCAGCCAGGGTCTGAGATCGTGGAGGGGCAGGCAGGCATCCCTGTGGAGAGGCACTTGGCAGCTCTGGTTACCTGGCTGGCCGGACCGGGGCAGGCAGGACCTGTCAGCTGCGGTGCAGGGGAGGGACCAGTTGGGACATGGAGATGACTCTTTCTGAGCTGCAACAATTGCTCCATAAGGAAAAATCCCAGATATTTCTTCTTCTTTGAAAAATCCACCCAGGCTGAGGGCAGACTACCAAAAAAGAGGTCATGTCTGGGAAAACCCGGACATATGGTAATCCTATGTCCCTGGTCCAGCCTGCCCAGCCCGTGTCCTGCTCCTGGCCTCTGTCCTGTGTTTAGCCCAGCAGTGTCCTGCTCCCAGCCCAGCTTTGTGCCCATGTTTTGCAGGCCACTACCCCTCTCCTACATGGTGTTTGATGGGCCTGCACCGCAGCCCCCACTCGTCTTCCTGCATGGCCTGCTGGGTAGCAAGGGCAACTTCCGTGCCATCGCTCGGGCCCTAGTGCAGCGGAGTGGCCGCAAGGTGAGCGTGAGGGGCAGGGCAGGGCCGGGGGCAGCCAAGGGCCCGAGCGCTGGGCCTGCCCTGCCCAGCTTGCAGTGGCTTCTCTTCCCTGCCAGGTGCTGACAGTGGATGCGCGGAACCACGGCGAGAGCCCGCACAGCCCCACCATGAGCTACGAGGCCATGAGCCTGGATGTGCAGCGCCTCCTGTGCCAGCTGCGCCTCCCCAAGTGCATCTTGGTTGGCCACAGCATGGGCGGCAAAACCGCCATGACACTGGCGCTGCAGCAGGTACCTGCATGTGTGGCCGCCAGGGAACAACCAGCGGGATGCAGGGTTTGGGGCAATTGCTGCTTCCCCCACCACATGGGTTTCTCCCCCACAGGGCCTGTCGCGGAGCACAAACCCCCTTCCCTGGGGGTGCAGGAGGGCACTCTGGGTGGTGTCATAGTTGTTCTTCTGTGAAGAATAAGAGCCCAGCCTGTTCTGTCTTGGCAAGGCTGAATGAAGGCAAGGTGGAGGGGTTTGTTCCTTTCTCTGGGCCCCTGCACAGTGGCCTGGCCTGTGCACTCAGCTCACAGTCAGCACAGCTCACTGAGACAGCCTCCCTCTGTATGACTGCTCCAGAGTGCTGCTCGCATGAAGCTAATGGATCTTGCCTTAAGGAGGGATCCATTCAGGGGGAGCTAGGATCTTCTCACACCTAACCTGAGTGGGATCCGTCTGACCACTTCTCATGGTAGACCCCAGGTAGCACACAGTGCTGCAGGAAATGGAATGGCAGTTCGGTACCAGGGGCTCTTCTCTCTTTCTGTTCATAGAAGCAACTTCCCAGCATAGTCCTAGGGCTGCTGTGCACCTACAGATGCTCTCTCTCCAATGAGGAATTCATTGCCTGTGCACTTAAAGATTCCCTCACATTTTCCAACACCCACTGTCATAAGTCAGGTTGCTGGGTTCTGTCTCCTGTGACTCCCTGCCATTTCATCCGGGGAGTTAATCTACGTTCTCACAGTCAGAGTTATTGTGTCATGTTCCACCCCAGAGGTGGCTGCATTTCAGGGCAAGCTGACAGCTCCCTGCTGTACAGTCTATAAAGGGCTTGGGAGCATTCACTTGGCAGGGTGCCAGGGAAACATAAACTGGATATGAACGCCCTGTTTTGCCTTTGCTGTCCGCTCTATTGTGTGTTCTGGAATCTTCGCTGGGGAATGACAGGCAGGTCAGACTGGAAGGCCCTTGGGTAGGAGCTCCTCCCCAGAGCTAGCCTTTCTTGGGGATGCATCTGTATGTGGGGCCCTCTGACCATTCCTTGGGATGCTTGTGGCCCTGAGCAGGGTTTCTGCTGGAGTGAGATCCCTACACTCGCTTTTGTCCCCAGCCAGATCTTGTGGAGCGCCTGGTGTCTGTAGACATCAGTCCCACAGAGAGTGTGGCTGTGACAGATTTCCTGGCCTACATCTCTGCCATGAGGAAAGTGAGCATCCCAAGTGGAATCCCCCGCTCCACAGCACGCCGGCTGGCGGAGGATCAGCTACGTCCAGCCATCCAGGTAGGGTAGCCCACAAGGAGCCCTCCCCTCTCCCAGAGTGGGAGCATGCTGCCCCAGAGTCGCCAGCCCCAGCCGGTGCTTTTCCATCTCCATGCCCTTAGTCCTGGCCCTAATGCCTGTCTGAACCTCAACAGGGCCCGCACTGGGAGTTGGCACCGTGGCCAGCACATCTGTTGTGGTAGGAAGGGGGTGCTGGAGCAGACACATGACATCTGGCGTGACAGTCTGCTAGTGCGGGTGTGTGATGGAGCGTCCTGGGGCGTCCCTGGCTGGCATGTGTGTATGCGCTGTGACAAATGGACATGCTTTATCCTTGCTGCAGGTGTCGGCGGTAAGGCAGTTCCTGCTGACCAACCTGGTGGAGGCCGAGGGCCGTTACGTGTGGCGGGTGAACCTGGAGGCCATTTCCCACCATATGGCCAATATCATGGGCTTCCCTGTGTTCCACGCGCCTTACCCAGGACCCACACTCTTTCTAGCAGGATCTGACTCCCCCTATGTCAGGTGAGTCCTGGGACTCTTGTGGCCCTGAGAGACCCACAGCTTGTTCCCTCTCACTCTGTTGCCACAGGTACTGAGGGGTGGAGTGAGCCCTGGGCTCCCTGAAATGGATAGGCGTGTGTATGGCCGGATTCCAGCGTGAGCCCTGGACTGACCGTGTTGCGGGGGGGATCCCAGCGTGAGCCCCATGCCCCAGCTCTCCAATACGTTCTTTCCCCCTGCAGCTCTGAGGACTACCCAGAGATCGAGCGGCTCTTTCCCGAGGCAGAGATCCAGTATATCCCAGGTGCTGGCCACTGGGTCCATGCAGATAAATCCCAAGAGTTCATCACTGCCATCTGCAACTTTCTGCTGCTGCCATAGAGCTCCTTCCTGTGCAGGCCGAGACAGCGTGATTCACAGGGCTGCCTACTCCTGGATCACCACACGAAGGACATGGGGATCCTTTTGGGGACAGATCAGTTCTGAGGTGTGGCCCCTGTCCACAAGCAGGGCCACTGGGATGGAAGGCTCGGCACCTGACCCATCCATCTGTGTGGCAGGCTAGAGCGGAGAGTGAGGCAGGGCTGCGCTGCCAGGGCTAGGATCTCTCTTCACCCCATGCAGCTGGAGATGATTTGGCCTCAGTGCTTGTTTCAGCGGGCCAGGGCAGATCTGGAGTTGAGGCTCCCCACAGGCTATCATGCCCGTCTGTTTGCATCCGCAATGTGTTGGGGCAGTGGCCCAGGGGCTCCCTGGCCCTGTTCTTCCCTCTTATTTGAATCCTTTCTTTGGGGTCTTGAGGTTATTCCCACTCCCAGCCCCCTTCCCCAGCTGCCTCCAGGCACACACAGACCCTTCACTGGTCCGTTTCTCAGGGACTCTGAGCTCTAGGGTGGGGGATCAGAGTCCAATCTGTCCAGATTCCAGCGTGCAACCCCAACCTTGCTGGAGGTTCCCATCCTCCACCAGAGGCTGTAACCAGAGCTTTGCCTACTTTTGCACTGCCTTTGTGTATAACTTCCTGGGACTCTGTACAGTATTTAAAATAAAGCCAAATCAGCACAGAGGCATCTAAACCTACAGGCCTTCTCCCAGAGGGAAGACAAGGGGAGTGGGGCAGTAGTGAATTGGGCATCATGTTCTCTCAGCCTTAGCAGAATGAGAGTCCAGAGTGTCTCCTTGCCTCACAACACAAGAATCAGGGGACATCAATGAAATTAAAAGTCAGGAAACTCAGATCAGATCAAAGGAAATACCTTTTCACCCAACACATAAGACTGTGGAACTCACTTCCACGGGACATCATTGAGGCCACGTGCTTATCAAGACTCAAATAAGGACTGGGCATTTAGCTGGATGACAAAAACTTCCAGACTCAACAATTATTGTTAAAAGAAGAGTTTGGGAAGGGAAATTAAACCCTCCTGCTTTGAGGCTTAACTGGTCTCTGATCATTAGGGATTAGGACAGGGGTGGGCAAACTTTTTGGCCCGAGGGCCATATCGGGGTTGCGGAACGGTATGGAGGGCCGGGTAGGGAAGGCTGTGCCTCTGCAAACAGCCTGGCCCCTGCCCCTTATACGCCCCCTTCCCACTTCCCACCCCCTGACAGCCCCCCTCAGAACCCCTGACCCATCCAACCACCCCCTGCTCCTTGTCCCCTGACTGCCCCCTCCCGGGACCCCCCTCCCCAACCATCCGCCCCCACCCCATATCCAACCTCCCTGTCCCCTGACTGTCCCAACCCCTATCCACACCCCTGGCCCCTGACAGGCCCCTGGAACCCCCAACTCCCCCACCCTTGTCCCCTGACTGCCCCCTCCCGGGACCCCCATCCCTAACTGCCACACCAGGACCCCATCCCCTATCCAACCCACCCACTCCTGGGACCCCACCCCCTATCCAACCCCACTGCTCCCTGTCTCCTGACCGCCCCCCTGCTCCTGAACCTCTTCCCCATCCAACCACTTTCTGTCCCCTGACTGCCCCCTGGGACCTCCTGCCCCTTATCTACCCCCCGCCCCCTTACCATGCCACTCAGAGTGGCAGGACAGGCTTATTGGAAAGCCTGGGAGGTGGGTGGGTGGAAGCTGTGCTGCCCGCGCAGCAGCATAACTGCGGGGGGAGGAGGGACAGCGGGGGAGGGGCGGGGGCTAGCCTCCCCGGCTGGGAGCTCAAGGGCTGGGTAGGATGGTCCTGCGGGCTGGATGTGGCCCGCGGGCCATAGTTTGCCCATCTTTGGATTAGGAGGAGATCTTTACCGGGACAGATTATCCCAGGGATGCTACTGCGGGGTTCCTGCATCTGCCCTGAAGCATCTGATGATGGCCACTGCCCGACACGGTACGGGCTAAATGGACCAGTCTGGCAATTCCTGTGTTCCTATTCCTTGTGCTCCTGGACGCAGTCTCCTTCTGGGATTGGACTGGGATGAGCACAGCCTGGAACAAGGGGTGCACTGACCTTGCTATTTCCCAGGCTCCAGAGCTATAGATTCTTTGGTTCCAAATTGCTGGAGTAGAACATGCTCACCGCAGGAGTGGCAAGTGCCTCATTAGGATAGATTATAGATTCTAAACCAGAAGGGACCATTTAAACATTTAGTCTGACCTGCATACCACTGGCCGGAGAACTTCCCTGAAATAATTCCTGGTTGAATACTGCAGATCTTTTAGAAAAACATCCAATATTGATTTTTTAATTCCTTTGGTAAATTGTTCCAATGGTTAATTACCCTCACAGTTAGAAATGTGCAGCTTATCTCCAGTCTGAATTTCTCTACCTTCAGCTTTCAGCCATTGGATCTTATTATAGCTTTGTCTGCAAGGTTATTGAACCCCAGGGAGGTACTTCGGCCCAGATCCACAAAGGATCCCAACCTCGATTGTTCTATGTTGCTTGCTTGTGCACAGTTTACTAAGCAATCCAGATTGCTCTGTGTCAGTGACTTGTTGTCTTTGTTATTTATAGAACCCTGTAAATCTGCAGATATCTGCTTTATGTCCAGATATCTGCATCTGTGAATGATTTTTACGGATTGAAGATCAGATGCAGATACAAGTTTTGTATCCACGCAGGGCTCTAGTTATTTACCACTCCCCTGTCTTTTTGTCATCTGTAAAGTTTATCGTGAGGTTTTTATGTTTTCTTCCAGATCACTGATAAAAATGTTAAATTGCATGGGGCCAAAAACCGATTCCTGCAGGACCCCACTAGAAACACTTGCTTGATGATGATTGTTCATGTAGTTACATTTTGAAATCTATCAGTTAGCCAGCTTTTAATCCATTTAATATGTGCCATGTTCATTTTATATTGTTCTAGTTTATTAATCAAAATGTCAGGTGGTACCAAGTCAAATGCCTTATAGAAGTCTATTGCATCAACACTTGTCACCTTGATCAACTAAATTTGTAATCTCATCAAAATAGATATCCAGTTAACTTGGCAGGATCTGTTTTCCATAAGCCCCTGTTGATTAGCATTGATTACATTATCCTCCTTTAATTCTTTATTAATCGAGTCCCACAGCAGCCATTCCATTTTCTTGCCTGGGATTGATGTCAGGCTGATGACTCTGTAATTACCCGGATCATCCCGTTTACCCTTTTTGAATATTAGCCCAACATTAGCTTTCTTCCCATCTTCTGGAACTTTCCCGGGGTTATTGATGATCCATGTTAACAGTCCAGTGTGCATCCTCCAAGGCAGAAGCACAGCCTGACCATTCCTTTTCTGCCGGGCTTGGAGACTCCACTAAGGAGTGCCTGGGTCCCTGTCTGTCCCAGTCCCAGGCTGTAGGCAGGCACAGTGGGAGGGGAAGGTTTCTCCCTCAGCAGTGGAAGATAGAAGCAGCCCTTGGTGTCAGTGAGTGCGTAGGGCCAGTGCAGCAGTGCTTGCTGGTCTCCTGGTGACCTAGTTGCCTTTTCCTTCTCTGCTGCTATTCATTGCCCTGTGCTTATTATGGGAGTGAAAGCTTTAATTTCCAAGGAGCTGCAGTGTCAGGCTGTCCAGTCATAGGGACTTTATGCAACCCCCTGAGCTAAGTGGGAAGGGGACTGCAAGGAGGTCTCCAAGCAGCAGGAAAGGAGAAGTGTCCCTGAAGGAACGTGAGCTCCCAGTGTGATGCTGTGGCTAAGAGGGCTAATGCGGTCCTTGGAGGTACAAGGGGAATCTTGAGTTGGAGCAGCGAGGTGGTATTAGCTCTGTGTGGGGCATTGGTGAGACCACTTGTGGTGTCCACACTTCAAAAAAGGTGCTGACAAATTAGGATGGTTCATAGAAGAGCCATAGGAATGATTTGAAGTCTGGAAAACCTGCCTGAAAGGAAAGGAGTACTTGTGGCACCTTAGAGAGCTGTAGCTCACGAAAGCTTATGCTCAAATAAATTTGTTGGTCTCTAAGGTGCCACAAGTCCTCCTTTTCTTTTTGCGGATACAGACTAACACGGCTGCTACTCTGAAACCTGTCTGAAAGGGTGAGACTAAGGCCATGGGGACTAGAGCGGCATGGCAATGGCACTTAGGGTGACCAGATGTCCCAAGTTTTTAGGGACAGTCCCAATTTTGGGGTCTTTTTCTTATGCATTTCTTTCTTTCTTTTTTGCATCCGATGAAGTGAGCTGTAGCTCACGAAAGCTCATGCTCAAATAAATTTGTTGGTCTCTAAGGTGCCACAAGTCCTCCTTTTCTTTTTGCGAATACAGACTAACATGGCTGTTACTCTGAAATTTTTCTTATATAGGCTCTTATTACCTCCCACCCCCGTCCCGATTTTTCACATTTGTTGGCTGGTCACCCTAATGGCACTACAGCTGGGCCAGCAAAGTCCCTCAGTGGAGACAGGGCCTACAGTGTGTTAGGGGGCTTATTCCTTCACCCGCTTCCTTCCCTGGTCCTTCTCGCGTGAACAGAGAGCAACAATACCCGAAGTCCGAAGGTGCAAACAATTCAATGTTTATTGCGGTGAACTTCCTGCAAGCTTAAATACAAGTTCCATTTTCCTTATTTTCGAATCCCAACTTACTTCCTGTTTGCCCCTAATTTATATAGTAATATTCTTAACTATACCTTAACCAATCATTCTACTGAAATTTAACTAACCAATCCTAACATACTGTAACATGATTAGCTAACCAATTATATCCCACCACCTTAATTAGTTTACACCCAGCAAAATTAATTATACAGCAGACAGAAACAATCACAGAACCAGACAGAGGCCATGCCAATAAACAATAGCAAAGTGGGAACTATAATGACAAAACAATACAGAAGTGAGGATTTCACATCCCAGTATTGATAAGTGAGTTCTTGCCAGACAGGATGCTATCAAACTAAGTTTCCTTTTACATCTTCTAGGGTATGTCTACACTACGAAATTAGGTCGAATTTATAGAAGTCGGTTTTTTAGAAATTGGTTTTATATATTCAAGTGTGTGCGTCCCCACAGAAAATGCTCTAAGTGCATTAAGTGAATTAACTCAGCGGAGCACTTCCACACTACCGAGGCTCGCGTCAACTTCCGGAGCGTTGCACTGTGGGTAGCTATCCCACAGTTCCCGCAGTCTCCGCTGCCCATTGGAATTCTGGGTTGAGATCCCAGTGCCTGATGGGGCTAAAACATTGCCGTGAGTGGTTCTGGGTACATATCGTCAGGCCCCCGTTCCCTCCCTCCCTCCGTGAAAGCAAGGACAGACAATCGTTTCACGCCTTTTTTCCTGAGTTACCTGTGCAGATGCCATACCACGGCAGACATGGAGCCCGCTCAGCTCACCGTCACCGTATGTCTCCTGGGTGCTGGCAGACATGGTACTGCATTGCTACACAGTAGCAGCAACCCATTGCCTTGTCGCAGCAGATGGTGCAATAGGACTGGTAGCCATCATCGTCATGGCTGAGGTGCTCCTGGCCACATCGGCCAGGAACGCCTGGGCAGACATGGGCTTAGGGACTAAATTTGGAGTGACTTGACCAGGTCATTCTCTTTAGTCCTGCAGTCAGTCCTATTGACCCATCTTATGGTGAACAGGCAGGCGATATGGATTGCTAGCAGTCGTATTGTACCATCTTCTGCCAGGCAGGCAAGAGATGAGGATGGCTAGCAGTCGTGTTGTACCATATTCTGCCGAGCAGCCCTGAGATGTGGATGGCATGCAGTCCTTCTGCACCGTCTGCTGCCAGCCAAAGATGTAAAAGATAGATGGAGTGTATCAAAACAAGAAATAGACCAGATTTGTTTTGTACTCATTTGCTTCCCCCCCTCCCCTGTCTAGGGGACTCATTTCTCTAGGTCACACTGCAGTCACTCACAGAGAAGGTGCAGCGAGGTAAATCTAGCCATGTATCAATCAGAGGCCAGACTAACCTCCTTGTTCCAATAAGAACAATAACTTAGGTGCACGATTTCTTATTGGAACCCTCCGTGAAGTCCTGCCTGAAATACTCCTTGATGTAAAGCCACCCCCTTTGTTGATTTTAGCTCCCTGAAGCCAACCCTGTAAGCCGTGTCATCAGTCGCCCCTCCCTGTGTCAGAGCAACGGCAAACTATCATGCATCTGAGTTGAGAGTGCTGTCCAGAGCAGTCACAATGGAACACTCTGATGGGGGTAAAACATTGTCGCGGGTGGTTCTGGGTACATATCCTCAGGCCCCCGTTCCCTCCCTCCCTCCGTGAAAGCAAGGGCAGACAATCGTTTCACGCCTTTTTTCCTGAGTTACCTGTGCAGACGCCATACCACGGCAGACATGGAGCCCGCTCAGGTAACCGTCACCGTATGTCTCCTGGGTGCTGGCAGACATGGTACTGCATTGCTCCACAGTAGCAGCAACCCATTGCCTTGTGGCAGCAGACGGTGCAATAGGACTGGTAGCCGTCATTGTCATGTCCAAGGTGCTCCTGGCCACATCGGCCAGGAACGCCTGGGCAGACATGGGCGCAGGGACTAAATTTGGAGTGACTTGACCAGGTCATTCTCTTTAGTCCTGCAGTCAGTCCTATTGAACCATCTTATGGTGAGCAGGCAGGTGATACGGATTGCTAGCAGTCCTACTGTGCCATCTTCTGCCGGGCAGCCATGAGATGTGGATGGCATGCAGTCCTTCTGCACCATCTGCTGCCAGCCAAAGATGTAAAAGATAGATGGAGTGTATCAAAACAAGAAATAGACCAGATTTGTTTTGTACTCATTTGCTTCCCCCCCTCCCCTGTCTAGGGGACTCATTCCTCTAGGTCACACTGCAGTCACTCACAGAGAAGGTGCAGCGAGGTAAATCTAGCCATGTATCAATCAGAGGCCAGACTAACCTCCTTGTTCCAATAAGAACAATAACTTAGGTGCACCATTTCTTATTGGAACCCTCCGTGAAGTCCTGCCTGAAATACTCTTTGATGTAAAGCCACCCCCTTTGTTGATTTTAGCTCCCTGAAGCCAACCCTGTAAGCCATGTCATCAGTCGCCCATCCCTCCGTCAGAGCAACGGCAGACAATCGTTCCGCGCCTTTTTTCTGAGCGGACGCCATACCAAGGCAAGCATGGAGGCCGCTCAGCTCACTTTGGCAATTAGGAGCACATTAAACACCACACGCATTATCCTCAGTATATGCGGCACCAGAACCTGGCAGAGCGATACCGGGTGAGTAGGCGACGTCAGCGCAGTCACGTGAGTGATCAGGACATGGACGCAGATTTCTCTGAAAGCATGGGCCCTGCCAATGCATGCATCATGGTGCTGATGGGGCAGGTGCATGCTGTGGAACGCCGATTCTGGGCTCGGGAAACAAGCACAGACTGGTGGGACTGCATAGTGTTGCAGGTCTGGGACGATTCCCAGTGGCTGCGAAACTTTCGCATGCGTAAGGGCACTTTCATGGAACTTTGTGACTTGCTTTCCCCTGCCCTGAGGCGCATGAATACCAAGATGAGAGCAGCCCTCACAGTTGAGAAGCGAGTGGCGATAGCCCTGTGGAAGCTTGCAAAGCCAGACAGCTACCGGTCAGTTGGGAATCAATATGGAGTGGGCAAATCTACTGTGGGGGCTGCTGTGATGCAAGTAGCCCACGCAATCAAAGATCTGCTGATATCAAGGGTAGTGACCCTGGGAAATGTGCAGGTCATAGTGGATGGCTTTGCTGCAATGGGATTCCCTAACTGTGGTGGGGCCATAGACGGAACCCATATCCCTATCTTAGCACCAGAGCACCAAGCCGCCGACTACATAGACCGCAAGGGGTACTTTTCAATAGTGCTGCAAGCTCTGGTGGATCACAAGGGACGTTTCACCAACATCAACGTGGGATGGCCGGGAAAGGTACATGATGCTCGCATCTTCAGGAACTCTGGTCTGTTTCAAAAGCTGCAGGAAGGGACTTTATTCCCAGACCAGAAAATAACTGTTGGGATGTTGAAATGCCTATATGTATCCTTGGGGACCCAGCCTACCCCTTAA